AAGTGCTGTTTCTCCCCAGCTACCGAAGAAAAAAAGGACATCTGGATGTTGGCTTTAGCGAATGTACGTACAAGACAACTAGACAAAATGATGAAAATTAAACAAAAGAGCAGATAGATAGAAACAGACAGGTGAGCAGACAGGCCGGCACATAGGCGAATATAAAAGCAGACAAAAAGAAAGACAAGTAAATTTATAGAGGAACAACTAGACAAAATGTTCAGGTAGATAAATAGATAGAGGGCCCAGCAAACAATAGGAGGAGGCAGCATGAAAATACAACAGACATAAAGAGTGGCACAAAGAATAGTATAGACGTTGGAAACAGGAGTGGAAGCATGCGGCTTAAATATTGACTCAACCGGGAAAACACGATAGACTATTGGTCTGGAAATGCGAGTAAGTTGAATGATGATTGTGAAACCAGATTGCAAAAGGTAGAATACATGCGAGTTATGGGGTCTGTGTCGTACTACATGTCATGTTTTTTCTTCAGTTCTTTTGATAGAATTGTACATGTGTCTCGTGCTTGTTTTGAGGGTATGATCACGACTGTGGTATAGTAGTAGTTAGTCTAATTCGTGGGCATGGCATTAATTCATTATTTACGTTATATCATTTAGATGTGCTCAAGTGAAATCTCGTGTTATGAATGCCCGTCATAGAGGTTGACGACGTGCTCTATAGTTGATCTACTAAGTGTGTAATTACAACAATAATTCGGGGTGATAAGTCAAAGCGTTACCTATTATGATCAATAAGACTGGGCTGTGTGATGCTTGAAGTGCATGTACATACCCAGTCTCGAAACCATTTGTCGGGTGATCTCGAGAGATAATGCGCGTAATTGATAGACTTATTTCGCCTATGAAACGGCATCGCCAAATGTGAGATGCATATAAGCATTGATTACGATTTTGCGAACAATCTAGTTACTATTTTGCAATTTACTATTGTAAAAAGTTTTGCGTCTGCTTTGTCATAAAGGATATGTAAGTATCAGAATGTGTTCGATAAGTTAGATCGTCAGCACGATTGAGTGTCTCGTAAGGTCATTAGTGGATTTCCATGATGTGTTATGTTAAGTATCGTGAATAGCCGTTGAACGTTTGTCAGTGGCACTGTCAGGAACGATATGTGCCGAGTAACACCTCGTACTTATTTGTCTGTATATGTGGAAATCATGCACAATAGAGTCATCATTGAGGTCATGTACATACACATTAATGGTTCTTGTAGTTATAGAATATTAACCGAATTCTTTTTCTTCATCAAGTGTGTGTCAATCCGCACTTATGTGTCGTGCCTTGATCCGTTAAAGTTAATATTTGATGAGTGTCTAATTGGATGCAAATCAGTGTGTAGCTATAGATGGTCCTGTGAGCTATTCCTTATAATAAGTGTGCTCTAGAGCACAGTGATTCGAGGATTCAGTGAACACAGCACCTCTTCGATCCCAATATCGGTTGTTCCTGGCTTCTCTTGAAGACTTAATGAGTATTCTATCAACCCCCCCGCCCCCTATTCGATTTATATATCGGTGTCTTGCTATCCTCGGTTATGTGTGGGCTTGTAACTGCCTGGCCACGCTACAATTATGGTCTGTAGTTGTAAATCATGTCTTCTAAGTATCGAAATCTTATTGCAGCCCACGACCAATCACTGTCGATGTTATTCTACAAAGAGGTAGCATTCCGAGGAGGCACAGCCTTTCCCGACACCATCTTGATGTTCCTCACAGCTTGGATTGGAGATTATCTTATGAGCACATGGTCGATTTGTGTTTGTATCCCTCCAATGCTTTATGTTTCTTTAGCTCTCCTTTTTCGCAAAAGAAGTGCTGAAGACGGCTAGGTTAAAAAATCAAATGGTTTCTGAGCAGGGTCAAGCGAGGCGTTGAGGAAAATTTGGAAATACGACCCCCCCCCCTCCCTCCGCCGGAGGAAGTCCATGAAACAACCCTCTTCAAAAGCCGAACTATGAAAAGGTTGAAAAGCTTGTTTAATTCTCCCCCAAAACTGCTCATAAAAAAGCCCTGCTACCCCACCGCCCACAAAAAAATTCGTTTAAGAAGTACAAAAGTGAAAAAGTCAAAGAATAATCATTATTGATGAGTCCTACCAAAACGAGCAAACGAGAAACAGACCAGAAAACGACAAACTAGCCACTAAAAATGGCATACTATGACAACAATATCTTCTTTATTTATTTCCTCCACAAGACTTACCAAATTCTAGTACTACACAGATTGTGGTTCTCAATTTGCACGTAGCCCTTCAGTTGAAAGAAGCTTTTTAACCGCCTTCGCCAGCTGTGTGTTGACTGGACTTTGGCGTTGACCGTGGAGCAGCTTATTTACTATTGAAATTTGAACAAATATTCAAATGATTATAACTTTCTTCAAATATGACGAATTTTCAATCTGAAAGTAGATTTGGAAGTTTTGTGAAGAGCTTTTTCTAATCAGTATAAAATTACAAAAAGTTATAAGAAATAACAAATTTAGGTCAATTAACGAGGAAAATTCGAGATGAGCACGAGTTTTTACACTTTCCGAAGCAATAACTTGCTTCATTTTCGTCAAATTCGAAAAGTTATATGGCAGACAAAACTAGAAGATTTTCTCTATCAAACGGTTGCTAAAGCAGCTTCATACGTCCAGTATTCAAAAAATGGCCACGTTGAGGATTTTTGCAAAATTAACGAGGAAAATTTGTGATGAGTGCGAGTTTTTACTTTCCTAAAGCCATAACTCCGTTCAAACTCATCCAATCCGAAAAGTAATACGCCATCATAAACTAGAAGATTTGCTCTATCAAATGCTTACTAGAACTGCTCCAAACGTCCAGTATTAAAAAACGGCTACGTTGAGGATTTTCGCACGAGTACCGCCGAAAGGTACTTTTTCGCTACATTGGCACTATTTCAACGGCTGTATATCCTTTTAAGGGCGTTATGTACTAAAGTAAGAGCAGATTTGGAATCACTGCTTTTCTCTTTCTAAGAAAAGTGATTGATTAGCGTTTCTCAACTTTAAAGGTTACATGTTTATAAATTTAACCCTGAAGAGTCCGTTAACGCAATGTTGAATGGTGTACACCTCCCTGTAAATGCGCACGGACACATTTCAGAATTCTCTCGATTGTTCCTGAATTGAGGTTGTTTGTCCAAGGAGCCGTAGTTCAAGCGCGCGCAACAACTAGACCCTTTCTCGGATGCGCCGTGTACCTCACATCCCTTCAGATTCGGGGTCTTACTTGAAAGATGAAATATCTCTTGGAAAGCGTGCGAAATTCAGATTCTTTAACTTGTGTGGTGATAAAACACTAACTAGCTAAGAATTACCGGACGCTCCCTTCCAGAATCAGAAAATTTTGTGTGGGTGAAATATCATTTTCATTGGAAATCCTCTGGCCTGGCATCGACTCATCCTTGATATTTGTCTTCCGGCGGTGATGATCCCACTGCATCAAAATGGCTCGATCTCTTCCACCCAGCGGGCCAATACGACCCCCCCCCTGCGACGATTCCTCA